AACAACCTCACTAACGAATTAATATTTTGCAGCGGGTTGGAAACGATTTAAAATTACACTCACTTTTACAAAGTTTTGCAGCCATATTTCTTTCTGTGTTCTTTATCCGTACTTTGGGTGATCCATGACTTTAGAGGATGTATTTAATTTATCTTTAATACCACCAATTATCCAGCCATGTACTCGCAGAAAATATTTATTAATATTTAATGACCGTCACTCATCAGTGATTTTGGCGGCCATTTTGAAATATCAACGTGGACATATAAATGGCCAATTTGGGCTGAAGTTCAGCCCGGCGTGATTTGCCCATTTTTATCACGTGTTTTGCCCCCATATAAAACATGTATTCTGCCCTATTTATTTTCATACTAACTCTGGTGACAAAGGCCCTCAGGTGGAAACGTCGAGAAGTGTTTTGTCTATGTGAAGAAGTGAAGACGCTGCCACGCTGCTCCCTGGTTATATTTAAATGCATTAATTATTAAACATAGCATCTTAACTTCTGGTTGAGTCCCCACACTCGCACACGCTCAGACGCCGCAATACCCTGTTTTTAACTGATCTGATTTATATGTGATACTCGTGTTCCACCCACCCCACATGGGAGAAGTATGAGAAAAGAATCACGTCACCAGCCTGAACCGGGCGTTTCGCCGCAGCGTGGGCCGTGAAGTATAGGTAGAAAAGCCTAGCTTGCGAGGTTGTTTTCCATCAACTGTTTTTCCTGGCTTGTATTTGAAGTGTGTATAATTAATTCCACTCGAAATTAGGACCCTTTGAACCTCTAGAATTTATCTGCATCGAGTGAAGTGCCAAAAATCATATTTGTAAATCATGTTTATGTCATACAGTACAACGTAATCATGATTAATGCACCAAGCACAAATAAGGCAGTTATAGGTGCCAAAATTATTCGTATAAATTTCGTTTTCATTTGATTGCCGAGCCAGGAGGGTGGTAATTCCGCCCGGGAATGCAAATGCGAAATCAAAGTTGTCCAGCATTATGTCAGGGAGGTTGGACGTTTTGAAGCTATGCGCATGCGGGAGCTTAAGACGAATTAAAACTGGAACGTTTGCAAACATGCGATTAGCTAAATTGAAATTTGGGTTCACGTCAGCATAACTGATTTTTCAATTATGAAACTTTTTTTAAATAATATTTTTCATTTGGATGGCCTTGAAAATAAATTATACGAAAAATTGACTCGTAAAATGGATTGAAATATAATGTAAAAGATGCCTTCGGATAGAAAAACTTTGATTCAAATGGATGGTAAAAAATCTACAATTTTGAAGCATTTTTTTGTGTATTTGAGCAGGTAAATGGGTAGATTTTGTATTTTAAAGCATGCAAGTATTTTGTAAGTTTAATATGTGGATTTATAAAAATATGTATGACACCTCTTTGAATTTATTCGTCAATTTCGATAAAATAATTTTCATTGGGAGAGCATATATTTTTAAAGGTTATTCTGCTTCAAAAGTAATCGAAATTTCGCTAAAAATTATAGTTGTTAAAACTATATTCGTAGGCGTAGCACAATTATGATTATGGTTGAATTTGAATTGATAGCTCGAGAGTCGTCCTTATAATTGTACTTTGTATAGGATTTTACTCATACGACTTCGATACGAATGAATACGATACGATTTTCAGTGATGGAAATATATGTTTATTGCTTCAGGCGAGGGGATTTTGCATGCATGTATTGCTAACAAGTCAATAATTTTTCAATTTTCATTATTTATCAATTATTTGACGAGGTCGAGCAAAATATCGTGATTTGTCGGTGGCGAGCAGATCAATTATTTGCCGATGCCGAAGGCAGAGGCAAATAATTGATCTGCAAGCCACCGACAAATCACGATATTTTGCGAGAGCCGAGTTCAATAATTGTTTTATCATTAACCACTCAATTTTCAATTTTGAGTTCGTTTTATCGGACAGTTCGGCAAAGCGAGTCGCCATTGTTTATAAAATTGACATTAATGCTCATGCTCAGAGTATTATTTGCAGCTGAGTATTATTTGCACGCAGTTAACTGCAGGTAAATTAACCAATCAAAATTGAGAATACTATAAAGTGAATGATAATATTACTTATTTACTGATGTCGAGGGAAACAGTGCATGTGTTTTGTTGACCCAAGAACGCCAACATGTTAACAGGTCAACAAAACCCCCTGCCCGAGGTGTCAGTAAATAAGTGATTTGGTATTAGCTATATCTAGTGTCAAAATGAAAATGAACCGGAGGCCAAAGAAGAGCCAATTCCTAGACATTACCTTTATTGCATGATTAAGATATGAAACAATGTAAAGTTAACTTCGAAAACCTTAAAAATACTTTATTCTCAAAAATATTCATCAACAAATTTTAGAAAAAAAGCAATTATATGGGAGATAAACAACGTCAACGACAACAGATTTCTTATTGTAGTTAAAATTGAAAGTCACATTACTGCATGATGACATTAGAGGCACCATTTTGGATTGAACCGTATTGTTTCCGAGCATTAGCGTAAAACGACATCAAAAGTTTGTTGATGACTCTCCCATCGACTTTTCTTCGATAGATAAAAGGTTCTCCTTACAGTATTTGTTTACACTGAACTTCAAATGCATGTTTGGTAGCATTATTTGTGGATATAGAGTTCTTTTCTTGTTGCAGCTTTTCAATATAGTCTTCCGACCGTGATCCAAACCGGCCAGTTATACTTTTTTTAAAATAAATTTAATTAATTTTTTAAAAAAACATGTATATTTTAGGGGGCTTCGCCACTTTCTGTGATTTTACTGGGTCGCGTTGATAGGGAAAGCATAGCAACCATCAACCAATTTCATAATTTTCTCCATGGCAAATTATGAAATTAGCTCGTGTTGATCACACGTAATCATGGAGATTTGAAGCCCTCCAAGCGTGGACCACTTGTCTAATAGGAAAGCAGAAAATTGCAAAAAATCCTAGGTCCGCCCTTATGTATGGCAGAAGTCGCGTGAGCGTCCAGCTGGATATCAAATAGATTCAGGAGAAGATTCTAGAGTGAGAAATAATTTCAACGATAGCTACGAATCAGTTGCTATAGAAATGAAAAAAAAAACAGTAAAAAGAATGAAAAAAAATGACCTGCAAATCGGCGCTCAGTAATTTTGAGCTGGTAATTATAACGCATTTTTGACCGAGCGTGAGGCCTGTACTGTGAAATATCAGTGAAATTTCACAGTACAGACTGAACAACTTAGGTCAATAATCTGTTTGTTATATGGTTGAACTGCGTGAGACATCAAACCAAACGGGGGAAAATCGCCCAAACCGGCGGCGAACGACAATTTAGCGTTGAAGCAGCGTGCTATAAACAGCAAATCTGAAAAAGGCAACACCAATGACTGGCTAAAACATTGGCAGGTTAATGCGGTCTTTGAGTCAAAAAGCCAAATCAAGAGCGATCAGATTAAAGGATGGGGACTGACCAGAAAACGCCGATAAATGAAACTACATAAGATGGTCGCAAAAAAGTTGTATGTAAAAACAAGTGCTGCTTATTAAGCTGAATGCAGCTAGAATCGTAAATCTTAAATATCTACGGAGACAAAGGATATAACCAGGAAAACCCAAAATAGAGTTCATATTCAGAGAGAAAATGTCAACATGGTGATAGCCTGACTTTAAATCCCAAGGAAAAACCATTAGTTCTGCACCAATGATCTGAGACAAATCTTCTTATTTAAATATACTTGGGTTTGGCAAGATACTCGTTAACATGGTTGAGGTCAATGACTAATCGAAGTTTCTTTCCCTCAGCAACTGTAAGTGGATTAACACAGGGGGCTTGGCATGCTCAGCGATGCACGCATGTTTATGTAATTCCGAAATAGCTTCGGTGGCGATATCGGGGTGTGTCTGCGCTGACAAATTATTTGGCAAACAACAACAGGATGCAGACCATAACCGTGGGAGATAACCGTGTTTGACAATAGAAATAACAACATCGGAAGCGCGTGAATCCTTGCGCCAAAATTCAATTTTGCAATCAGTTCAATACTTACGACCTTTAATGCTGACATCATCATCAACGGGCAGAAAGTTCGACAAAAATTAAGCGATCAATCTCCGGATAAAAGTTGTTCGCACAATCGCACTAAACTTCCATCCCGGAACTACCACAAACCAAACCAATGATCATAATCGCGATGTTAAAAAGATATAATGTTTTTAAATAACACAATGAATTGGTATATGCTATATCCTTTCAGACAGTGGCGTAGCCAGCCCGACGTTTTGTCCCGCTATGTAAATTTTGTGTTATTATATTTATTCATGTCTTTAGAAATTCATTGTTTTCACAGTCAATGCACACCAAAATATTAACATAGCGGGACAAATCGTCAGGCTGGCTATGCTACTGCTTTCAGACGTTGTGAGAATTTGAATTTTAACCAGTGGTGTGATTAGAACGATAATCTGGGGGGGTGGGGGTGAGTATTCATGCACTCAGTTCTGCCCGACGATTTCTTTTGTAAATGCAATAGCTTATACAATAGAAATTCCTCGGGCAGAACTGAATATTTGAATATTCAACCTTGCCCATGCAATTATCGTTCAAGTTACGCGACTGATTTTAACATTTCCATTTAACTAGTCTAATCGCTGTAATCGGCTCGTGGAAAGAACTTCTATTTGTAGGCAAACCTATATGTAACCGAAACGGGAAAAACCGGAATAGAAATCCTTATTAAAAATTTTGAGGAATAATTTTAAAAGCCATAATCACTTCCTGAGCAGCAACTATTGTCTTATAACCAACTTCTAGGCAGGTTTAAAAAAAATAATACTGATATTATACTAAAAATGTATGTAGTCCACTTAATATTTACTTTATTTAACTTTTAGAATTTTAATCAGTTGGGTTTTCATTCGGGTTTTCACTTTTTTTACAAAGTCCCTAACGAACTAATTACGATTTCACATCGCTTAATTAGATTACTCTTATTTGTAGATGAGTTACCTCCATGTCCTCCGCGAAATCAACAGATATTAGTGGACGATCGATTTGAACTTGATAAAGCAGATTGTTTCCGCGAGATTTTTCATCCTGGAAGTACGTCTTGTTTCCGATCAAGGGAGCCTAGGTACGGTGGAGGTTGAAACTTGCTGGCGGGTAGCATATTGTTTTTTCCATTAAAAGGTGTATTAAGGTAGCTCGATACAGTTTTCAAGAATTCCATTTTTCATCACTTTGACACGTTCAAACAACGCATTTTTGTGATTTATTCCAGAGATATTCGGGTTTTTATATATTTTGATGTCTCTACTTTTGAATCGTATTAGTTTTAGTAACAAATCGTCCGTTACTATGGCGACATACGTGTACAAAATTCACTCCAAAATGACCAATTGCCTCGGATAGCTGGAAAACAAGCACGGTGACCCCCAATTTTTTCTCGTCCATTATTTTACTTGGAAGAAAAACTAACAATTGGCAAAATATAAAAAAATTCTATGATGCCAAATTTTTGAAAAATTTAAAAATGACATTTTTTTCAATAATTTTTTTTGCTATTATAGAATTTTTTTTATATTTTGCTAATTGTTAGTTTTTCTTCCAAGTAAAATAATGCACGAAAAACAAATTGGGGGTCACCGTGCTTGTTTTCCAACTATCGGAGGCAATTGGTCATTTTGGAGTGAATTTTCTACACGTATGTCGCCATAGCAACAGACGATCTGTTACTAAAACTAATACGATTCAAAGGTAGAGACATCAAAATATATAAAAACCCCAATATCTCAGGAATAAACCATAAAAAATGCGTTCTTTGAACGTGTCAAAGTGATAAACAGTGGAATTTTTGAAAACTGTATCGAGTAACCTTAATATACAATACGACAAGCGAAAAATAGTAAACTGACAGTCAAGGTTGAATTATTAATGAAGCACCTATTACTAAAGTGTACTCTTTCGATTAACACGCACGAACGATATCGATGAAGGATAAGTAAAAATGGGCCAACCAAAATGAACCAAAACTAAAATGAAAACTTAGAAAATACTTCGGTGATCTGCCTTACAGCTGTAAAAAGTATACTAGTTTGGTAAAATTGTGTAGTAAAGCTGCGAAATATTGAAAAAAATGTTGAAAATTTTGCTCCACGAAGTTAAGTTAATTAACTTATTCTTAACTGAATTTATTTCCTTATATTTAAAACCACGTACGAAAAGCTTTACTACCTCTAAAAATGGTGAGGGTTTTTCGTGCGTTATGCAAAATGATATAAAGTTCTCTGGTTAATTACACGTCTAAATTTCTAAACTTGGCAACCACAGTTCTTGGGATATTTTGTTCGTTTATTCTAGAATGATCTTTCCGGCTGTACTAATGAATTTTCATCAAATTAAATTTTAAAGAGAAATGTATCCCATTGCGCCAAAATGCTAAAATTGCACTAAAATTCCATTAAGTTCAAAACCAACAACACAAAACAATTTCAGTGTATTTCTTGACATGGCATTTTTCAAATTCGAAAAGTTAGAAATACTTGCAGACATCAACCACTCATAGACGATAATTATATGTTTTTGTTATGAAATAATCCCAATCAGTCTAGCTTGCATTTGGTATTGAATTCTCTCGTCTTAAACAAATCATAAAAATAAAATTCATGCTCCAAACCACCAGAAAAGTACAAAATCTTAAAAGACAAAGACAGGACGTCAAATGTTATCTTTCGAATATTTATTCCGTGATTCTAGACCAATCTAAAAGTTTTAAAATTAAATTCACATGTAAAACAGTTTTGAAATAAAAGCGATGGGGGAAGGGATATTTCATGGCAGCTATCCTTTTAAAATAAGCTTACACATTATGAATTATTCCTTATTTATTACGAATTTCACGTACTTAATCGGAGAGTTGTTTTTCAAAGTGACGGATGAAGAAATGCGTTATTTCTATTTACATTACCTGAAAGCACAAAAGAAGTGAAAAAATTAGGCCGAAATTATTTTCAAGGTTAAAAAATACTTTGTAGAACGCTTTTCAACTTTAATTTTCGAAAAATTGTTTTTTTTGAATCGCCATAAAACTTTCCAGAAATTTGTTTACGTTTGTAAAAGAGATTAACAGTCTTCACTCCTTCATTACTTGATTACCACTCTTTACTCGTTCATATATGTCGCCATTGCGCAAGCTGGCAAGATGGTGGAACGTAGGTTTTGAATGATTTCTATAAATGACATCTATGTGCTTTCAAAATACCTGGGGGTAGTTTCCATTACCCGCGCGGAGTTACTGAGTGAAAATAACTGGAAGAATAAAATTAATATTAATTGCCTATTCGCTAAACAAATCTCCTTACTTCGCCATATTTGGTGCCATTCGGTATCTAATTTCCTATCTTACGTGGCTGTACCGTTATTGCTTGAAATCGATCAATTTAAAATCATGCTTACCGAAATTAGCTTGAAATATTATCAAACCATATAGACGAGGTGAATATCGCGGAATAAAAACCGAGATGAATTTATTGAGAAAGCGAATCTGTTGTAGAAAATGCATCTTTCACAAACGTAAACATGTATATGGGCAATTTTTTAGCGATTCAAATGAAATAATGTTTTCGCAAAATAAAGTTGAAAGCGTTCTACAAAATAGTTTTTTACCTCGAAAATAATTTCAGGCCTAGTTATTTTCACTTCTTTTGTGCTTTCAGGTAAGGTAAATTAAAATCAGTGGCGTAGCCAGCCTGACGATTTTGTCCCGCTATGTAAATTTCGAGTTACTATAATTATTCATGTCTTTAGAAATTTGTTGCTTTCACAGTCAATGAACACAAAAATATTAGCATAGCGGGACAAATTGTCAGGCTGGCTACGCTACTGATTAAAATAACGCATGTCTTCACCTGTCACGTTGGAAAAACAACTAGGCGCCATTTGGAAAATCCGCTTATGTAATTATCACGTAATAATCCGAGGTCGCTTGACCAATCAGAGACCAGAATTCTAAATAATCACCTTTGTAATTATACTAATTTCAGTTATTCATATGTTTATAAAAAACATTTTTCTTTTAGTGCATCAGGTGCTGGTCAACAATGTTGTTATAAAGGTGATTCACTGTTGGTTGGACCTCCTGGTGGTGGTACATTAGATATTGTATCTCCAGAAAAGAGCCAATTGGGTCACTTCAGCGAAGATGTGCTACCTTGGTTAGCCTGCTGTGAACTTTCTTTTTTTGACAACTGTGGTAAATACTATGATGGAAGACCATCCGATGATGGTTCAAGATTCATACCTCAACCAACTGGCATAAGTATATTTTTAATTTTTTTGTGAGAAGTTGTGTGCTTAACAATAATTATATGAAAAATAATTATCCGAAAAACAACGCAACAGCGATTCCACACTTTTAATAATCAGAAGAGAACTTCTGAAAGCCAAAGCAAGATTTCCTCCTTTTGCTAAATAGCCACAGGGCACGAGACACAATAGCGAATTCAAACAACATGCCTGTATATAATTGCGGTAACACGAAATGACTGACAATTTGGGGAATTATGTTGCAAATATTTAGCTGGTACCAGAGGTGATCCTCATTTATCCACATTTGACGGAACGTTCTACACATTCAACGGTTATGGTGAATACGTCCTTCTCAAAGTCAACAATGGCTTGGATCTCGAGTTTCAAGGAAGAATGGTACCCATACTTGATGACCAAGGACGAACAACAAGGGCGACAGCCCTCACAGCATTTGTCATCAAGGGAGCAACGAGTGATACTGTGCAGGTTTGTGCACTCTAATATTACAATTATGGAATCGAAACACGATTTTGTTCTTCTTCGCGAGTTTAGCAGACTGTTTGTTATTAATTACAAATTACGAAGGGTTCTAAAAACAAAAGTAAAGTTAAAAAAATTACGACGCCATAATAATCTTTTAACTTCGAACTTTGTTGCTTTATCCAGGTGCGGATTCACGGTTAAGGCTGCTTTCCACTTACGCGTTTTTTATACGCACGTACACGCATTTAAAATCTAAATCCTTATACATGTTACCTTTGAAAAAACTAAGTGAATAAATCGAAGGAAGCTAGTTTTCTGCATATTTTAGTATGCATTAAATTACCTAGATATTAAATACAATAAAAATTTAGGAGCATTTAATTTTCCGTACGTGTACGTGCGTATAAAAAACGCGTAAGTGGAAAGCAGCCTTTAGGCAGAGCAAATTACTACAGGTCAAAATCGTAATCGCATTGGTAGATTTTTATTTAAAAATATTCTTTAGAAATCCATGACCAATTGCATTGTTATTAAGGTATTTTGAATTTAAAATTAAGCCTTTTAATTTATACTGCCTAACGCTAGATCCGCCACTGGCTTTATTATCATGGAATTCGTTTATATTTGGCATGTAGCCATACTAACTTTATACACTTTTAGTAAGCTGCATGGTTGCTATAGATATTAAAATTTCGAAAATTTCCACTAAAAGTAAATGTAAAATAAATTAATTATATATAAAACTTATAATGTTATATTTTTCATTTTTTCGCGATCAAACAATATTGCTTTATCCTGAAGCTCTTTTACTTAGCATGCCTGCAAAATTCTCTAGAAATAATTACTGTGTACTAGAAGTTTCTATCGCAAGGGGAGTGCTGCCGTGCGCAAAAAGGATTTTGTACAAACAAGGATTGGTGATTAACAAAGACACTGTTAATGAACACGCTGAATTTTATCCTGTTATTTGCCTTTTGGTTGCTTTTACACGACAAAATTCCCTTTGACAATTTTTTTCGCCTGTTGTATGTAAAGTAGATGAGTTATGAATGTATGTTATAATTTGCTTTACTGAGCAACCATATTGTTTTGAACTTGAATACGCTCAATCACATGCGCCAAGATGAGAAATTTGTCAGAGTATTTGACCGTGCATATATATATATATATATATATATATATATATATATATATATATATATATATATATATATATATATATATATATATATATATATATATATATATAGATCAAGGAGAGAAAATGTTGGGTCTCTCTTCCGCATCCGCCAAAGGCGCTGAAGACGACCGGTGTGAAGGAGCCATGCTCGACCTCAACAATCCGTTGGTTGTAATGTTGCTTCTTTTCCCGTTCGTTGGCTTTAAACGAGCTGCTCAACGTCTGGCGTCGATGTGTAGAGGCGTATGGGTTAAACACCCTTACATCAAAGAATGCCTTTTCACATCTCTCCCAGAAACCTCTCGCAGCAATGTCCACTCTGGCGTCATCGGCTGAGTTAGCACTGGATGGAAGAACCTCGCCAGTCAAAGGAGCAAGAGCAGGTTCAATTGAAACATCGTAAGCAACGTCATCGATAGCAGCAGCAAGTAGATCATGGATCTCATTATGTCTTCGATGGATAAAACCTCCTTTCAGGCACGACAGGGCATGATCTACCGTGAACGATTTTCCACAAGCGCAGAAAGATGGAAGGCGTTTCAAAGGCCATCGATAACGCATGTAGATTGCATCAAAGAACTCACGCTTGGTCAAGATGTAGCCCTCATCAGCAAGTGGCAGAGCAGTTAGCCAAGCTGAGGATCCTTTCAACTGGGCGAGGTCATTTGCTCCAATCTGCTCTTCACTCATTCTTGATCTCACGTTCTGTAGCAGCAACGAGTTCCTAGCTTGACGTTGTTTTGCAATCTCACGACGAAGATCGTGGATGGAATCTCCATGTTCTGCTGATGGTGTACCATTCTGGTGGATGATTCTACTTGAGAGAAGATGACAGATGGTTGCGGAGTTCAAATGCTCTTCATCACAGATGTCGTTAAAGATCGGAATACCAAGACCTCCCATACGAGCTGGAAGCGAAACCAATTGTCGCTCATGGATGGACAAGCTACGGTTATCGAGGAGTGCAGGAAGGAGCTTTAGGTTGATCGTGTCGTCAACAAGCTGCATCGCGGTCTTGATACCTGGAACGGCACGAATGTGGTAAGTAAATCTGTGCCGAAAACCTGAGACAAACGCCGCGTATGCTGCTTGGGGTTGGAATTTGGCAATTTCACTCAAAACGTGAAGTTGCTGGCACCATTTACTAACTAAAGAACTAATATACTTATCTTTTCCGTAATCCGATCCAAGATATCCTCCAAGGTACTTATGCCCTTCACTTGAAATTTGTACATTAGTTCTAGCGAAGATCTCAATGGCAGTCTGCTCCAGGTGTGGCTTCACAATCAACCAGGATTTACCAGCTCTCGGGTAGTAACCAAGACTCGGACCATGCGCGGCAATCTTCTCCCACCAGGCACGCAGTTGCATTAGCTTACCTGGTCCACTAAGGTCATCCGCGTACGCAACATGCCTTACATCACTAGCTTCATCAGATTTAATCATGAGCAGGAGTGGAGTAATGGTGACGGCGTATAACGGCATGGCTAACGGATCACCTTGCGTGGTACCTTCAGCTGATGCAATTTCTTTACCACCTTGCACGAACAATCTTGAAGCTGTTACATAACAATTGAACGTATAAACAGCCATTGCGGGACAAATGTACTGAATGTTATGTAACATGATCTCGCGGTTGATGGAATTGAACGATTGGTGGCGTCTACCAGTAAGACAGCGTCTGTTTCTTCTTCTTCAAAAAATCTTCGACATGGCGTGAACAGCAGCCTCGCAGCCTGATTGTTGTCCTGCACATAGCTGTAAGTCTCCTGCGCTATCCATGATTTGTGGTTTGATGGCAAAGACAATTGATTTTCCAATCATCCGTCGTAGAACCTCTCCAATCCCAATCGGTCTGACACCAGGGTTCTTGTCCAGAGGTATTAAGCGACACGCTAAGAAGGCCTCTAAGCTGGTGGTCTGATCTTCTCCAATAACAACCTTCTGGGTTGCAAGTGTTCTCGCCATTAACACTATGCGGATCGTAGATCTTTGCCAGCATCTCCATAGTTGCGAGACACCAAAATATGCCGCCATCCAAGTGCGTTAAGACCTGAAGGACCAGCAGCACCTTGAGTCCTCAATGCTGCTTTTGCTATGGCTGTCTCGTCGATGTTGGCGAATAACGATGGATCGACATATGGAATTTCACCATCAATCATGACGGAATGATCCTCAGGTTGTGCAGGTGGATGTTTCTGCAAGAGGTCCTTGTACACATCGTCATTAAGAGGAAGAACTCCACCACATGATTGTTCATCCAACAAACGTAGAGCTGCGTTCACTTTGCCACGAAACATGAGACTAGCGAAGGTCTTGGAAAACTGTTCATATGAAACCTTCCTAGTAGTCAGTAGTGTCGACTGGATGGTTCTGCATTCCCAAAGTAACCCATCAAAGTTCCCTTGTTGCCACAAAGCCATGCGCCGAGACAGACAAGTCACATGGTCTTTCGATCTCGATTTGAAACTCAGTAAGTTTTAAAGAAATATCATGGAAGATCTCCGAGTTAATGTTCCAAGCGTTAACAAGTCTCTCCAGTTCCCTGACGTATGACTTTCCAGCAGCTCCATTCGGCAACATAAACAGATTTTTGCGCCAAAAAACCACCTCTTCATAGGCTGCGTTAACAACTTGCTTTAGATCGTCTTTAGTGAGGCTGCCCCAAACACATGGTGATCCGCTATTTTGAGAACTTGAGGGAGTAACCGGATCAACAACAATAGAACCAGGCATACTTGATGTTTGTCCATCTTGTTGACGCGCTTCACCAGTTGCGTGTTTTTTCCTGCATGAATTTAAATGTAGCGACCGTCCTCGTTCCGAACCAAATTGTCTCGGGCACAAATTACATTGAAATGCGCGCTCTCCGTCTTTGCTTTCTGGCGGCATAGTTTCTAATTAGCGTGCGTCGTCACCAACCAATTTACCAAATCACGTAGCACACGGTTAACGGAATAACGTTCGCAAATATAATTTAACGGTCCAAACTCGAGAAATAGCAAAATATTTGCGTAAAAATTCTAAAAATATATATATAATAATTAATAACCAATTCGCACTCACAGAATTCACAGTTGAAGTAGCACTGGAAATTATTCACGCTAAAAGCAATGAAAGCGTAACCACTCCAATGACCAATGTTCGATGTCCAAATCTTGATAAAGTCACAAAATAAGCGAAAACACCAAGATAACAAAAAATAACACCAATGTTGTTTTCAAGATATCTTACTTAAGTAATAACGTAATAATGTTTCTAAAAATTTAGCAGTAATTGTGTAAAAATTTCAAATGTCACGGAGCACTATTTTTTAGCGTCTTTACGCCATAGTGCGCGTGTCTCTCTGTGTCAATTACGTAATCTGATTGGCTGTTTTTGTTCTCGCTGTTATATATATATATATATATATATATATATATATATATATATATATATATATATATATATATATATATATATATATATATATACTATATAATGCCTACATTGCCTGAACACTGTCAGGCACGCGAGTTGCCATTGGGCTGCCTATGGTCAAATATTAAAACAATAATAAAAGATGTAAAGATCATCACAGCACAGAAAAAGTTGGTGAAATAGGAACGACTCGTAGTTTATTATCTTTGAAGTGGTAGGTGTCTATATTTTGCTTATTCAGTGTTTGCTGTAAGAATGCATTGTTATTTTAACAAGTGCGAGCTTGGTATGTCGTTTTACAATGAGCTAACTGAGCGTTTAAGGCTTTACATCATCGCTTAAACTTTAAAAAGAGTTCTCCAAGTGTACTTCACAGTTTTGATAAAACAAATATCACTTTGCAGCTTATATAGTCGCGAAAATCATTGAATAAAATAAATTATCGAAAAACAACATTCGACCTTTAGTGCTTGTAGGGTTATTATAATTATTTCTGCTGTTTTGATGTTTTGAAGGTTTAGCTATAGAAAATTTAACACTCACCTAAAATGCAATGTATGTAATGCAGCAGGCAAGCAGGTTATTTCTGTTCACCTTTACGACTGTCTTTCTTTCCGAAAAATTTGCACGAGTTATTTCATAATATCAGCGTAGAAAGTTAGGTCTGGGTAGCGCACGAAATATATTGCTTCGTTTAAAATGGCGAGGGGTTGCTGCATGCATTTATTTCCAGTATTTACATTATTATCCGACGAATCCGGAAGGAGAAAAATTAATGTCAACAAACGCGTCAACATTTCTCCCCGACCCATCTTGTTTTCACAAAACATACAAGCACAATCTATATTGTTGCTAGATTATCAAATTTGAGAGTTAAAATATTGCACTGTATGTTTATACCTAACGTAAGAATAGGCTAGGTTTTTTAAGCACAATTGATTTAATGTAAACGTTGTGATTGAAAACTGCTTATTTATAGTTTAGGAGTTTTTAGCGAGAGATCTTATTGACTTGCTAAATGAATGCAAATTGAAGATGATTTGAGATTGACCAATATTTAAATATTCAATCTTTTTTAAATTTGTCCACGATTTATATTATTTTAATAATTGTTTTCGTGAAGATATTTAGATTCTATTTTTCGACGTTTCACTTTAGTTCGAGTTTAACAGACGGCGCAGCATAGACGTGTTAGTCAATGGTGAGCGGGTCGAATTTGATGAACAAACAAGATTAGACTTCACCGGAGTCTTCATTGTTAAACAAAATCAGACAAAATTTGGTACATACTTCACATCAGGAGTAGCTATTGTGGTCACATCTGTAGAAGATTTTCTTACTTATCAAATTTCAGTACCATTAAGATTCAAAGGTAAAAACAGGTTTCATTTTACTAATAAAAAATCGTATGGTTTGTTTTAAAGGAATGAGGGACGTTTCGACCAAATTTCATCACCCCTCTAAGCGATGTCTTAATACATGATTGAGTGATTGATTGGTTGAGTGAACTATAACTAAGTATTATTTCAAGTCCATTTCCTTCGCTCATATAATTATCAGGGAGACATGGTCAATTAATCCGAATGCTTTCGTCTGAGGAATGTCATCATCATCTTGTCCTTTTCCCTTTAAGGGGAAATTGGGCCTTGAATGAGGAATGTGGGGGCATACATTTGTCAGCGCATCCTCGGTTTTGCTGGGTCAAAATGCGAAAGCTTATGAAAAAAAATTATTAAAAAATTGTGAGAATTTCCAAGAATAAGGGTGAACATTTTAGCATAAAAACCGCTCATAAAATTACTACTCATTATGTAAAGACTACTTATACAAAAATCAAACTTGTACATTGGCTCAATTCCATTGAGCCTCCTTTCCTCAATAACATTGCGTTTCATACCCCTCGTTATTTCGCATACCTATTTTTTAACATGTATCAAAAAGAGTGAACATTCGCCCTTTGTTAGGAAAAACTGCTGGACTTCTTGGATTTTGGAACGATGACAAAGATCTAGAATTTTTATTGCCTAATGGCAGTTTCATTGATACAAATTCAAGTTATCGAACAATTCACCATGAGTTTGGCCAGAAATGTAAGTTATCAATTCTGAAGTGGTTGTTTTCTCGTACCTCGTTATTATCGGTGGAACTAATTATTTGGTTAAAACTATGAAATGAGTTGTACATTTTCTGTGATTAATCACAATCAGAAAAGCATCGACATATTCCCAACGCATAGACCAATCAGCATAGAGAAAATGCAATGCATGGTATGGAAAATTGAACAAGTGTATTTTACACCGGTTAACGTTGACCTATGTATAAATACATTATGATTTTTGGAACTGCACTCGATGCAGATAATATAGGGAGGTTAAGATCGACTTCCGCTACGAGTACCGATACCAATATTCAGTCACGCGCATGCGCAGACGTAACAATCGTCCAAAATGTGATAACACCGGAAGTCGCGAGTACCGTTTTGGGGCTGAAAATGGAAGTGGATAGGTAGGCGAAGTACCGAATTATATTTACTGTATTACTGCATTTCCTGCAGTTTTTTCTAATAATAATATTTAGTTTTTAGTTGTGTAATGTTTCTGCTTTGTTTGTTGAGACTTAGGATTGTGATTAGAGTTTTTGATGTGAATACAGCCGCTATACTCCGCCGTGTTTATTTACTTCTTACGGAAGTCACAATCTTAACGCTTTAAAGTTTCCGCGCTGCCAAACAGTAATACGTCATGTATTTTTGTATCGGTACTGGTAGTGGAAGTAGATCCTAACCTCCCTAATCACTCGAATGCACCAGCATCGCAAAAGCGTAGGTTCGATTCCTGCCGGAGGATCCATAGTTGACTAATTTTTCCATCATCTGTTCCTAGCTTGAATTTGAAGTGTGTATAAATCCACTCGAAATTAAGACCCTTAAAACTGTATGTATAAATACGTAATCAATTCTCCCTATTAACCACACCCTGACGTCTTTATTTACGCAATGTTCTTCTTTAAAAATGTGTAATCAATGTGTCATTAGCTATACATATATCTAAACAAGTCGTCAAGGTGTAATAATGTCTCATTCCATCTATCCACTTTTCTGAAAACGTGAAATTAGTTGTACTGCTTGAATCTTTTAATCACATTAAGGTAGCGGTCGTTGAATAACCTGCCTTCGGCACAAGATGATATGCTTAAGATGATATAATTAATGTATTTGCCAAAGAAACGAACAACAAGCAATTTCACTACGTATCAAAGAAACACTGATTACTTATAAAAGTTATTGCAAATTTCATCGATAAAAGTATACAGACCTATCAATATTTTTTCAATTTATACAGGGATTGTGGACAGAAACAAGACTCTTTTCGCGTACCATGTCGGAAAAAGTTACGACAGTTTTTTTACTCCCAACTTCATTCCGGTCTTTCTTGACGAAACAAACACCTTGTTTTCGAGTTTTACTTTGGAGCAAGAAGCAAGGAGTGTATGCGGGGGAAATGAGGAATGCTTGTACGATATTGCTGTAACAGGTAAAAAAGATATTGGTGAGGCGACGTTGGAATCCTTTAATGAAATACAGAAAAGAACAAATGCGTCAAAACTTGTTGAGAAAAAAAAAGCATGTTACACGGCTCAAATTTTTATACAAATATTCAGTTCTATGCAATTCCACTTTATGAAGATGGAAATTAAAGGCTTCGAAATGTAAATGCTATAAACACAAAAATGTCGCAGTTTCCAAATTCACTAATTTCAAAAGTAGTATTGTATTGCAAATTGTTCGAAAATATTGCACCGTGCAATTGTCACCGTGTAAAAATAACTCAAACTGGGACATTAGGTTATCCCGGGCAAAATTTTAATGTAATCAATTAAACTTGCTAGCAAGTTGGTAATTTTGAGTGCAGTTTGGGAATATATATACCACAAAAATATTTGATAAGCGTCAAAATCGCCGCTTCCCTGCCGTAAACGAAGATTAGGATTATCCTTTCGTCCTCTGCGAACGGGCTGGAGAGCTGGAAAGGCAATCCTTTCGTAAGGCTGTTGACTTTAATCACGTTATATTTACGATTTCAATCACTGTAGACATAAAAAAATGGTGAGGGCGGATTTTACCAAATTATCTACATGGTACTCGGTATAGATATGCATATTTGATCATACCTCCTAGTTTCTAGCTTGTGTTCTCCCACAGAGTCTCTTTAATACCATGTATACTAGAAATACATTGCATGCAAAGTCCCCTCGCCTGAAGCAATAAACATATACTTCCATCACTAAAATTCTATAATACTCGTTTCTGCTGAATGATCGAAATTGTAAAGTAAAATCCTATATCTTGGTACAATTATAATCATAATAATTGTGCTACGAATAGTTTTAAATACTATACAATTTTTAGCGAAATTTCAATTACTTTTTAAACAGATTCACCTTTAAAAATAAATACTTTCCAAATCAAAATCGTTTTAACGAAATTGACGAATAAATTCAAAGAGGTTTCATACAATTGTTGATAAATCCACATATTAAACTTACAAAATACTTGCATGCTTTAAAATACAAAATCTACTCATTTACCTGAGTGTTGAAAAACACTAAAAAAATGCTTCAAAATCGTATATTTTTTACCATCCATTTGAATGAAAGTTTTTCTATCCGAAGGCATCTTATTCCATTATATTTTAATCAATTTTACGACTCATCAAAATGAAAGACCATCAAAATGAAAAATATTATTTAAAAAAATATAATTCAATTTAAATAAATTATAATTCAAAATATCAGTTATGCTGACGTGAACCCAAATTTTAATTTAGCCAATCGCACGTTTGTAAACGTTTGTTAGTAACCAGTTTTAACTCGTTTTAAACGCACGCATGCGCAAAACTTACAAAAACGCCCAACGTCCATGACATAATGGCGGACAACTTTCATTTCGCATTTGCATTCCCGGCCGTAATTAAAATCTCCGGGCGGAATTAGTACCCTCGCCCGGTGCTTCGCACCGGCTCGGGGACAATAATTGTCACTTGGTATAAATTGCCTTCTCGCGAGAGCCAAAATCCATGATCCGAACTTAAGGAGAAGCAAGGCTTTTTCATGAACGAGAAGGATTTAGTCACAGAGGACGCTTAAAATTTTTGTAATTATTAATATTATTTTTAAAACGATTCGCTACACTCTAACCCCCATATAGCTAACCGAACCCCATTAATGCAATTCCTCGGTAATAAGTCAAAAATGTTTTTCAGTTGCCAAGCGTATTTTCTTTGGTTGTGATGGAGTCGAGAACAGTGGGAAGAAAGTAGATTTTTGTGGTGATTGTGGAGGAGACAACTCATCGTGCACTGATTGTGAAGGTCGCATAAGACCTGGCTTTCTTAACAATGAAACATGTGGTAGGTTTCTTTTATTATTATCAAACTGAAAATTTGAACATAAATTGCCAGGCAAAGAAAGTTTGTGAGATATTTTTATGCATGTGACAAGACTTAGGTTTACCATTTTTGACCTAGGTTCCTATCTGCCCTGGAGCGAATGGAGTGTTTGCATCGGCGTAGATGAAAAAGTAACAAGAGAGCGAAACCGAACATGTTCGAAAAAAGGACATTGTCGTCATTTAGGTAACAGTATACAACAAGAAAAATGCAAGACTAGTGAGGATGACGGTAAGTTCCAAAATTACTCCGGCATGAGCGACAGGGTTTAAAAATGGCCGAGGTTTTCGTATTTTTGTTTTTTTATCATACAGTATTTAAAAGCTCTCGGCTAATTTGTGCCCAGTACTTGACCCGACGCTCGCTGAAGATCGTAAGTCAACGTATTAATCTACGTTAAAGTTTCGTCTCGTAAAAGTTGTCATGCGCTTATAGTATCTTGAGCGAATTTTTCGAGGCGCGATTTGATTTCGCTTACATTATGCAGCAACTCCTACACGAGGTACGAATAAACCGTTATTTTAATGCTGTTGTTTGGAGATGTTGACGCCTATGGCGCTAAGAAATGTCGCACACGATTGAAGAAATAAGAATATTTACGATCAAGCGCTAACACAGCATGAGCATTCACATTCGTCAATTAACATGCATATTACACATATTACACGCTATTATAAGCTATACGGTTATCATATGAATAAAATTCAAGATGGCGGTCAACATTGACAGCAGCGAAAAGGTTACAAGCAATGACGGATTACAGGGGCGGATCTAGGGGTTGCCAGATGAGTCACGCGACTAGTTCAATCTAAATGCTTAATATATCGCGAACAGCATCAAAAGAACGGTTTATTTCTTCCTCTTGGAGCAATTGCCATATCATGTGAGCGAAATCAAATCGCGCATAAGACAATTAGCCAAAGATTTTGAGCTGTGTACCACAACTCTTGAGAGAAAAAACTGTGACGTAGATAAACACGGTGACATACACTTTTGAAATACTAGCTAGTATACTTCGCGCCAAAACACACTTGCGAGAACGAAAAACGTCGCTGACACAGAGTAATCAGGAAAATTCTACTTATTACTCTGGCGTCAGCAACGGAGTTGAAAATTTGCCTAGGTTTTGTTTTATTTTTAGTTTGTTTTTTTCTAGTTTTATTTAATTATTTTTTTTATTATTATTTTTCGTCGTCGCAAGTGAGTTTTGGCGCGAAATATACTAGTATTTGAAAAGTGTACGTGACCGTATTTATCTACGTCACAGTTTTCTCTCCCAAGAGTTGTTTTGCACTGATCGAAATCTAATTTTCCGATGTGCGATTTGATTTAACTCCCATGATACGGAAATTCCCCGAAGAGGAACAAATAAACCGTTCTTAATTTTGATGCTGTTCGATTAATTAGGGTAAGAATATATTTAATACATATAGATTCTTATACTTTTTAAAGTACGATGTGCTTCTGAATGCCGCGATCGAACAACATTTAGGTTCGCAAGGCATCTAAATGAGTATGAACTGTATTGTTTATGTTCAGAAGCTTGGCACGTTTACGGGGTTAAATATAACATGACGCATGTTCTGGCCGATGTTTACGCCAGAACATGCGTCTTGTTATATTTAACTACTAGCTTGAAAAAGCTTCTCAACCAAGTGATATCAGAAGTTTGTTCCCATTTCGCTATGAGACTTACGCCTGTATTCAAAAAGCTCACTCAAACTCACACTCCTTGAGTGTGACATATAAATTTTGTTAATGCTGGTCAATGAGAAAGTTTTCGCTCAATAGATGGAAAGATATAACGTGAATCGCTGGAAATCAAGCCCCTATACGGCTCGAAATACTGCCATTGAAACGTTATGAGAACATTAATATCTCTCTGAGCTTTTACAGAATACAGGCGATATAGTATAAACACGATAAAATTATCATGTCTGACAAACCTGGAAATTCCCGTCGTTAAAAGTGAAACTGCTAAAGCAAAGTCATCATATACTGGAGCAAGTTTATTTCATTCCTTACCAGACGATTTAAAATCTATTTTGAACTTTATAATGACATCCTATAGGAAAAATCTTAAAAAATTCTTTATTGATTTAAATTATAAAGTTGACTATATCAATAATATAGCTGCATTGCTTGAAAGCATGTAGTCATTTGTCAATGTGTTTCCAACCACCAGTCTTAATTTACTGGAGAGGTCATTAAGGAGGTCTATTAGGTAGAATACTTGTCAAACTGTAAATAATGCAAAAAATACCCTCTTGAAAAAAGTTTTTATCAAGCGCGGATTGTCAATACATTTTTCAACTTCGATACTTTTTAATACATATAGTCTAGGACCTGTAAAGAGTTTATATGCATTTAATTTAGGACAGATTATCTCAACTGTTTTAGGGTAAAAAGACCATGCCGGTCAACATGGCATATGTGCCAAAATCTGAATCTGGGACTAAAGTCCTGAAAATGACCACATCCAGAAACGCCATGGTCGACATAGCTCTAAATCCTGAATTATCAAAGCCACAGTCTTTCTGAATTGTTTTTATGGTTCAGAGTTATTGCTTTTAGGGGTGGTCACTAGAGAGTGAAATTAGCCTAAGTTTCATATTTTACAAGAAAATGAATGTTTACCATTCCAGGTCAACTGCTGATTATGCATAAAATTACAGATTCACCTGGCAAAGTCTAATTTTTCCTATTTTCAAATAATTTTTGCCACCTGATTAAAAAATGCTTATTTTAGTACATTTATTCCAAATTCCAGCCAGAACACGATTTCTGCCATATTTTTCAAATTTAATCGCCGTTTTTCGCCGTCCGTCGCAAGTGCCTTCCAAATATTGTACTTTAACACGATTCTAGTTGACTAAAGAATTATTCAACTAATTTTCGATGGGTTTTGAAGTAGTGCCATGTAGTATTTTTTCATTTTTGTGTCCCTCAGATTTCATCAATTATGTCGCCATTGCAATGTTTCGCCGCCTTTTTGCACGATAAATGGCACTTCTTGGTACCCAGCTGAATTTTTTTCACTGTATCGATAAATAATTCATAGTACAATAACAGCTATCCAAAATTTAAAAGCATTTGTCCAACTTGGAAGTAAAAAACCATCTCTCGTTTATTGGGAATGAAATTCAAGTGCGAAAGATTCAAAATAATTTAAAAGTCTAACGCACACTCCAAGACAAATGCTCGCGGGCAACATTGCAGGGGATGTGTTAAATTTTCACGAATATATTTCTGGTTTATTTTTTTAACTTTGTGAAAGCAAGAAATGCAACTTAAACATGGAGACTTGTTAATGTTGTCATGAGGAAGTTTAACAGCAAAACGGACAAATTTTAATGCTGTCCACGAGAACTCGTCGCGGAGTTTGCGCGGATTTACGAATTATTTTGAATCTTTCGCACTTGAATTCCCAATAAACGAGGGGAGTTTTTTTACTACCAAGTTGGCCAAATGCTTTTAAATTTTGGATAGTTCTTATGTTCTTATTGTACTATCAATTATTTATCGATGCCGTGAAAAAAATTCAGCTTGCTGGGTATCAAGAAGTGGCATTTATCGTGCAGAAAGGCGGCGAAACATTGCAAGGGCGACATAATTGATGGAATGTGAAGGGACACAAAAATGAAAATATGTTACATGGCACTACTTCAAAACCCATCGAAAATTGGTTGAATAGTTCTTTAGTCCACTAGAATCGTGCTAAAGTACAATATTTGGATGGTGCTTGCGACGGACGGCGAAAAACGGCGATCAAATTTGCAAAATATGGCTGAAATCGTGTTCTGTTGGGAGGTAAGTGAAATGAAATATGTCGTATCCCAACAAAACATTGTTATTTCCTAGGAAATTAATAATAAATATACTAAAATAAGCATAATTTTTAATCATATGACAAAAATGTTTAGAAAATAGGGAAAATTAGACTTTGCCAGGTGAATCTGTAATTTTATGCATCATTAGTAGTTGACCTGAAATGGTAAACATTCATTTTCTTGTAAAATATGAAACTTAGGCTAATTTCACCCTCCAGTGACCACCCCTAAAAGCAACCATTCTGAACCATATAAACAATTCAGAAAGACTGTGAAAGACTTACCTCAAAACAGTTGAGATAATCTGTCCTAAATGAAATGCATACAAACTCCTTTACAGGTCCTAGACTAATATTCCCGTAGACGGAAAAGAAATATTATAGATAAATTCATTTAACCAGAATACAAGTGATCGTACGAATTTGACAAGTTACGTTTTAAAATGGCTCGGCGAACATTGCCAGAAATTCGCGGTCACGACAATTTATATTTTCGCCAAAATTAATGCGTTGTATTGTGCAACTCCTGTACATTGAATTTACCAATACTTTTCCGACCGTCCAGGCACTGGTATTTTGCCCACCCCCTGTCCCGCAAACTATAGACTAAATGAAATGAATACTTTGGATAACAAAGTGTTGTCTGTACAATATGAGGTTACAATATTTCGTGAAACTAAAACTGCGAATTTATATAGTTTCACCTTTGTGACCACGTTACATGGTTGAACAGTGTGTAAAACTCTACTTCGACTCGGAAATTAGTGTATCACCAAAAAAATACTGCCCCACGTGTAACAACGACATAATACTTGACTATAGTACATAACTCTAAGAGTAAGACAGTAGGAGTGAGTGGAAGAGCCACACCATGCACGACGTTTATTCGAACAATGAAAATAATATCTTTTGACCATTTAGCCGCTTGTTCCCTGTCTTGACCAATAAATTCAAATGTTAACTTTTATGTTGTCTTTTTTACATTACAGACGATCGAAAAGCGTTAAAGTTCTATGCAGCTGTTATTGGTATCCTGTTTTGCCATAATTCTCATCATTGCAATCGCTGCATTGTGTAAGCGCTGCTGTTGCAGCAAGATTTCTTCAACTGCTCAGCCATTTAACATGTCTCTAATCATCAAAATAACTCTTATATTATGTAGGTTTAAAGTTATTTCCAGCAGAATAGCATGCACAGTATCATGTATAAAATATTATCATCTCTTTTATTGATGCCTCTCTTTTGAGTTTTGTTGAAGTAAAGGTTAAATTTACTAGAATTGAAATATATAACTTTTACCGAACTTGCACTTGTAGGCTGACATAGCATTGACAGCCTTTTTTTGTGCTGGAGAATGTAACCAATAATTAATTTTTATAAAGAGAAGTGAACAATTATTATGAGAACTTCTTTCTACGAATGTATTCCTTTCCTTAATAATTACTAATAAATAAACATTAATTAGATATCGTTTTTTATATGCATTCAATGCGAATAATAATAATATAATGCCTTATAAATATCGAAACGAGTATAATAAGACGCGAGCTCAACGATTGCCAGCGCCCAGCCAATCAGTTCGGCTCCATCACTACCAAACTAGACCAGCCGGTTATTGAAATATGAAAGCCGGATAGCACTATCCACTGGTTATTTTTCAATCGCTTTAATATCACCCGCTGTTAGGAATAACTTTAATAAAATATTCATAAATTCGTAAATTTTCAATATTATTCAACGAAATTGCCTTTTGCGTATAAACTGATACGAAAAGGCCCTTTAGCTACCAAGACATTTTGACTACAAAAAACTGAGATTTAAATATGACTAGAAATACATGCATGCAGCAACCCCTCGCTATTTCAAACCAAGTACACAATTTCCTGAGTTAACCTGAACTAAACTTATATTATGAAATGACACAAACTCAATCAGTCTTAAGTTTCCATCATTCACTACAAAATAATCACAAGCTAGTGTAAATATTGCCCGTTCATTTTGCTGCATTATTACCATGCCAGCAATTAAGTAACAGTTTAAAATCGAAGTTTCAAACGATTAAACAGTACAAAATCTTCACAGAAAGAAAAAACTTCGAATGTATTTTATATCTAATTGCAGTCAACGCGGGCGGCTAAAAGTTTCAGTATACTAAATATAGTGTGTATTTTTGATACCAAATTCAAATTACACTTTCAAAAACACTTTTTGAAGTTAAAGCAAAGGTGTAATAGCCCTTCACAAGTTTATGCGTTTGCAGAAAAAGCTGAATTTAACAAAATACGGCATACAAAGCTGAAAAGTATACAAATACGGCTCATTCTTACCGCGAAACAAGTACGAGTAAACAAAGTAAACACGAACCCTTTGTCTTTGAAAACATTTATAATCTTGCAGATTATGATTATTCCTCTTACACGGCTTTGTTTTGACTGTATCCACGTTCATCTTTGCTATCTGTCATGCTTCATATATCTGTTTCTTCTCGTTTTACTTTCTTTGCACAAAGTTTATGAACGCTTTTACAAAATGTTTACGAAATGACAGTTAAATTGCTGACGTTCTCATTGAATTACAAACTTTTGTCTTAGCCAATCAGACCGTTCGTTGATTACCAGTCTACACTCGTTCGCATTTCACGCATGCGCACAAGTACCATGACCATTGAACGTCCACGGTCCACGACATAGAATTTGAGCAACTTTGGATTCCGCTATGTTCTGTCACAATACCCGGTGTAATAAATCTCCCAGCGGAATTAGTACCCTCGCACGGCGCTTCGCGCCGGCTCGGGATTAAGAGTTGTATACAACCGTCCCAGAACGAATTTTTATATTCTCGAAAAGGTGGAAGGTTAAATACCGCTGACCCCTAGAATTTTGTAGCGGTGAAAAAAATTGCACATTGCTCTTGCGATCCTAATCATTGTTAATCCAGGTAATTTTGGAGCCGTTGTGGATTATTGCACTGCACACGCTCTTATTTCCATAATCTATCATTGGACTTGAGCCACATGGCGGACGCTATAGAGTAGCTACACTTAGAATATTCCTGCACGGCCAGAAATATATAGGCGCGAGAATATGCGCGATTTAGCGCTAATTTAAGAGCCGCTTCTAAGAAAAAAGTGGGGATCGAATCAATCAAATTTTCTCTCTATATATAACCCATGTACTGTTGAAAAATCATGTTTGTTCAGGTCCAAAATCATCAACGTATCGACCTTTAGCCACTGAAAATTGGAGGCAACTCGAGATGCCCAAAATATTACAAGAAGGAATACTTTTATGGTGGTCATCGTGTGGGAAAGTACAATATATATTCCTAGCATATTAATGATATCAGTTACCTCCCCGTTCACCTTTCTGATGGTTGCCCATCGGCAAAATTAATGTCCACATATCAGCCCCGTAAGTTAAAGGAATGAAAGGATGCAAACTCGCTTATCAGACTGCTGGAAAGATTTTGTATGCCTTAAAAGCATGGGTTTAAAAGTAAGTTTAACATTTTCATATTAACAGCAAGCGGAACTTGATTGGCTGAATAGCAGAGGCCAGTTGTTCAAAGCTAGGTCAGCGCTAACTCTGCATGGGTTAAATTTTAAACCAGGTTTTAGTAGAAAACTGCTTCTGAGTCACTGTTCGTTTTAAAACTTTAGAAAATATGGCTTCTAACAGTCCAGAAATATTGGTAAAAATATTATTCTTTTGTAAGCAAGTGATTGGAAAAATTCAGATAAAAATTTGCTTTAACCCAGGGTTAAACTAGCCGGGTTTTGAACAACCGAGCCCAGGCGCGGGATTTTCCGATACTCTGTGCACCACTATGACCACTGTAAACGTATTTACCAACATTTTTCTATGAATAAATTATATAGTCGACTAAGTTATTGGCATGTTTTGTGGTCTGATTCTAAGTCTGATACTTATTATTTCATTCAACACGGGCTGCGAGGTACCGCATGAAATAAATTGTGCACGGGCTATGTTTAGAATTCGTAGAAAGGTGAATTTAGGAGCGGTATCTGAAATTCGTCCTTTTTCGCTGTTTACCCCAAACCATGCAATTTCTGGTCCTTTTTTATCCTGTGTTTTCACGGTACCGGACGAATTCCCCTATAATATAAGACTGAATTTTTTTTTGTTCGTGAGAAATACAATAATATGAGCATCGTATTGTTGGCATGCCCATTCCTTAACCGCGCTATAATATATCGGTACAAAAACAAAGCAAGACAAATTTCTGGTGTTTATACGGCACCCGGACGAATTTAAAGCCGGTCGAGTAAAAAGTTTGACCGCGGTCATTTTTTGGGTCGCTAATTCGTTGCTAAGGGGGTATTAAATTTGTTCGCTTGCGTGGTTCTCGGGTAAACGAAAGGCCGAACACTTAATTCAGATCGCGCGATTGCAAATTCGTCCTGTGTCATGTAAAGGGCCGAAATCTTAGAAACGGCCCAAAGCTAGGCCCTGAGCTTATAATTTTATTATGAAATGGCTCAAAAGAGTCGGTAGGATTATCATTTTTAGGCCTAGGAAACAGAAATGGTCATAAAATTGAGTAAACCTCGCCGGTTCTACTGCTGCATTGAGCAGGCAATTTATGGATTTGGCATGTTCAGTTGATTATATTGCAAACTATTATGTTTATTGCGGATCAAACTTTTATACATTTTTTATTATTTGTATATGTGAGTGTGGTCGTAATACAGATAACATTTATAGTCCTATGACCTATGTATATACACTTATATTTATTTCCGTTGGCAACAATTTATTTTGCAAAATCATGGGTTTGGATATTGTCGAAGTCAGTATGAGTGCTGTACGGCGCTGATATGCCGAAACAAAGGCAATGCAGGATGTCTTGATACTTGAAGTTGAAGATTTTCATACGCTAGTGCAGGTCCAGTTATACACCTTTCTTGCAAGTCATCCTTGTGAGACGCTGAAACGCGAATTATCATGCGAATGGACTTTCCCGTTAGCCAGGCTGTCTTGCTCTGATACTATACCAAAGAAATAAATTAATAAATGCAATAAATCCAGCATAAGTTGTTTGAAGCATCGTGATACTCGTTTGTTTATACTTTGGATGATTTGCACTGCCGTATCTCATAATAGTTTATAATGGATACTTACCCTTGTCTTTGTTTTAATAATAAATTCATCTTACCATATAGTCTTTGTTTTAATAATAAATTCATCTGCATCGGTAATTTTAGAACCTATAGTTTTCAGTAGCGTCCTATACAGCAAAGCTCATCTGATGAACATGCATTATATCTTTGTGCTCAGTTTCACGGGTTATATTAAAACGAAAGGACTTTCAAATTCTCAGTTCTGCAAGTTAACTAGACGAGCAAGCTAACATAATTATGTTTATGTAGTACTAATAAAGAATTGGATCATACTGCGTAAAACAATACTAATAATATAATGAATGTGGCTTGGCAAAACATGCATTGAAATTTAAATGTATTATTTGATACACATGCAAAATGGCTAAGAAAAGCTTTCAACACTCAATGCATTTAAGCGTATCCTTATACAAATGAATTTAAAATAGGACTTTGGCTTTAGCTTCAGTGTAGTTTCTTCTATCTTGCACAGATATTGCGTATAATTATACGCGCTATAGAGTTGAGGATTTCCTTCCGGACCCATCAATGGGATACTTCAATATCCCGATGACGGCAGCTAGTAGGGTGTATGCAAATATTGAACATTGAGTCATCACTAACTCTCGAACCTTAAAATCCTATTTACAGTAGGCGAGGGCACACATACCTACGGCTACACAAATATACTCATCTTACAAAAGTTTATTTAATGAATTTATGATGTTCTTTGCAAATATAGGTATACGAAATATTTCCGTTGTCGCATTTTAGTTTTTCTAATGTTTTCATCTCAGCAAGAGATTGATGAATATCATAGCCAAGGATTCGCCATAAAGTCTTGTTGTCATAAGTCATTATTGTAAAAAGCTGAAACATATTTATAAATCTTACATAGTGAAAAAAATACAAATTTTAGTAAGAGTAATTATATCTATAAAAAAAGACGTCCTGTCGAATTAAGCATCCGGAACATATTATTGAATGCAAACTCTAAAAATCTTAAATTTAGCTTTATTGCTACTCTGAAAGCTAAATTTAGGCTTAAAATTTGTCAATTCTTGTGGAAGTCAGAGTCATCAAGACGCGTTAGGAAATCTTAACAATTTACACTTATTGTGCATGTGTAATGTATAAATGTAACATGTTTACGTATAGTATAAAGAATTTGATCATACTGCGTTGCAGTAGATAATGAGCGAGTTTGGCAAAATATGCATTGAAATTTAAAAATACCTATATAATACCTATTCATAAATAATTATGCAAAATGGTTTAGAAAAGCTTTCAATACTCAGTGCATATAAGCATATCCTTTTAGAAATTAGTAAGAAATATGAAGTCCTTCGTTTTAGCTTCTGTTTTTTTCTGTCTTGCTCAGATTGCTTATACGCGAATAGAGCTTGAGGATTTTTTTCCTTATGGACCCAGCAATGGAGATACTTCAGTACCCAACAATGATGACGGCAGTTCGGGTCTTGTCAATATTGCATTTCCCTTCCTTTCTTCGACGAAGAACATGACTCCCTGTTCGTAAGTATTTTGCAGACATTATTTTCATACTTATTCATACGCACCGATATTTAATGGGTATACATGTATATTTTAGGCGATGTTTGTACCCATGTCTTTCAAGATAATTATTGTAAACACTTGCCACATCATTTGTGAGTGCATGTCTTGCTCAATTTTACAATTAAATTTTATATATGTTCAAACTAATAATTGTGTTATTGTAGCAGCCTGCGTACGTATAGCGACCAGCAGTTTTTTCAAATAGAAAAATGCATGTAGCTTTAATGGAAATCAATAAATATTGGCAGTTATTGAGGAATGCCCAATAACGAAAGTAGAGTAATTTCAAGAATTCGAAACACAAGCAGTGTATACCCAGTGATGCGTTTAGAGCCTGAAAAACACGTACATGCACTTCATACTATATTGACAAAACTCTCGGGGGCGAAACGTCCAGTGGCCGGTTGTACGAAAGGTGTTTAAGTCGTTAACCACCGTTTAACTCGTTATCCACCGTATAAATGTATACGCTTGAAAATCGCGTTGTCGAAGCCCGTTTAGCGCTATCCACCGGTTAAAATTTAGCTAAACGGTGGATAAAAAACGGTGGATCTGGCGGATAAATAATTGTGTGTCAACTTTTAAAAAAATTAAATAAAATGGCGTTGTACAGGTTACCTGGCGTCCATTTTTATGCGCTTCCAAGAGTGAATGAACGAGCAGAAAGAGTTTATAGACGTGAAATCGACAACACATTACAATATTACTAGAAATACTTGCATGCAGAAACCCCTCGCCTCGGATTAACAAAATTAGTTAAGCATAGCGATGGTATACATTTCAAAGTTTACGCGGCGCGCGAAATCGCTAGTTTGCCATTCAATATGGCATGCGGTATACCCCAAAATATTTGCGCCACGTTCATTTGGGTCAGTGGTGTACCGCCCAAGAATATTTGATTAAGTCAACATGGCGGCTGTTTCAAATGTGCGTTTTTCGTTGGAAGAAGTATTAAGTCAAGACATCTACAACGAAAACGCCGTTGAACAGCCGTCAAACTCTTTGACAAAAGTTCAGGAGGCAATTGAGAGTTTGGCAGTTGAGCGTGGGTGTAGTAATGCGGAGGCTGTCACTCGGGCATGTGTTAAGCAAGTTCAAGCTATGCACTTGCATGCATGGAGAATCTGCCAAGTAATTTTTTCAAAATTGTTTCAAGTTTTCACAACTGTTAAGAACCATCTCAAAGCTCTATATTCCTTTTAACTATATGAAAGTAATAATCCTTATATAGCTGGATATTGCCTTCAAATCATAGATTTACATACTAATATTTGAAGGCAAACCAGCAGACAAATATAGTTAATGTGAACTTTCCCTTCTAATGACTAGTTTTCCAGTTGCTTTTCCTGTCAGGAAATCAAACTGCTGCCAGATAGTAAATCAAACAACTCAAATAATTTCAAGAACAAAACACAATTTTGTTTTTTATGCCACAGCCACCCCAACAATTTGATGAAAAAAAAACAATTTTTCTTCTGCCACCATTTTAAGATAAAGAAACAATAAATAAATTTAAAATGTATTGATAGTCCTCTTTTTAATTTTCATGCATGAACAACTAAATGGTACTGCATGACATTGTCTATCATTAGACTGCAATGGTCCTCTAAGATTCCACATTGAAAAGAAAAATCATCAGCACTTTTTCACAAAAATATAACTAGAATGCACTAAGATTTTTAACCCTTGGATACTAGTGGAGTGCATGGAGCTTTGAAGAGTTTATACAAATGAGTATGGGTTTGCAACACAAGTTTTTGTCTTAATATATCTATTTTAAAAATAGAAATCAAACATACATACTTAATGCAAAAATTACAAAACTAATACACTAATAAACAAGATGTACCATGCAACATATGCATAGCATATTCCTGTGTGTTTAACATACACAGTTATGTAAAGTGTTACTGTTCATATTTGTTGTTATATTGTAAATACATTTAGGTTAATTAAGACATTGCAAGTAACCAGAACATTAATACCTGTTTGCCAGTCATCCTGTGGACTAGAAAATTTTATGCCCCTCTGGGGACCTGTGTCAAGAAACATGAAATCATCATAACGGGGACGCGCCGTGTGTAAACAATGTGGGGACAGTAGTTTTCTAGTGTATTCACTGTGTGGACTTTTCAAGATTCGATGTAAACAATGTGGGGACTGAGCAGTGAGGTAGACCTTCATGGAGATATATTTTTATTGACAATAAAAACTTTAATTCTTAACATGCAGTGTCTTTTTACTGTCTATCACACATGCATTTTGTCGAGTAAACATGGTTCGTTTTAATATAGCTAAACTACCTAAATATTCCTTAATAACTCTTGATAACTTTCTCTTTTTTAAACTTAAATTTTTATAGCAAAACCTAACTTCACTCCTCTATGGCACCTAAATTGCATCTTTCCGTATTACTTTGCACCTAAAACGTTGAAGCAAGGGGCATGAACTGGTCTAAGCGGGTTTTTAAAAAGAGAAATAGAATAGCGGCATTTATTTAACCTAATCGGGTGCATTCCTTTGGTTGCGTGTGCATATTGTATTGCTGGCCATTTATAGAAGGCACAGCAATATTTCATGTTAAATTGTAAGGCGACCTTCGACAAAATTGGTGACTATAGATAATAAAGGCGGAAAATGATGCAGAGCTCTCAGAAGCCGTTTTTCATCAAAAATCAACCAATGAGAAGGCAGTTCCTCGTCAAGACTGCATACCCTTTTCTTTATTCCATATAACTCGGCACTGGAATAATTCTAAAATTCTGTGAAAAAAGGGTTCGTTTTTCTACCAATTGTAAATTGGAATTTTAATTTCAAGTCTGAGGTATGTTATGAGAACTTGCATGCCCTTGTTAAGGGTGAATTATAAATATGATATTGAGCATATCGCGATTTCTATTCAGGAAAACTACTTTGATAATGACTCGATCAATGATGAAGAAAATAACACGCGCAGGAAATCTTTACATATTTTGCTTCAATACGCAGAGCTCGGAAGCTTTCGTCCAATTGGATAATGCTTTTCTATGCTTTCTAAAGAACGAAGCTATGCTATTGGTTGAAACAGAAATGTATTGTAAAGTTTAGCCCATGAAAATCGTTCTTGCGAGGAGCTGCGACCCTACCCTATATTTGCTGAATCCCATCTGATATATGTATGTGCTGGTCATTTTTCAATAAATCCGACGGGAGAGTGGCCTGCTTGAAGACTGAAAGTTTATTTATGAGCATCACTTACCCATATTCCAATGACAAATGTATTCATTAGAGAATTGCAATTCGGATTTCGTCTTCCATAAATATTCTAAAAAGTAAATTTAAATACATTTAAAACAGGGATTCAAGGTTGGTACAAATTAATAATTGATACATACCGCAATAAATGGGGATTGCATGGATGGCATAGCTCGACTTTGTAATTATTTGATTTCTCAAACCTTACTGCTATTAAGTGGGAATGTGCTTTTGATAAAAAGTATCAAACGTAAATACAAACTAAAAGTACGAAAAATCCCCTGGAAGACCCAGAATGATGTACACATTCGAGGAGCCGAGAAAAGCGTTGTAAGAATGGGACGAAAACTTATGCATATATACCTCCTCAGGAAGACCCCAGAATCTCTCCCAGAATATTGTACACATTTTTGCACTCCTCCGGAAGACCCCAGAATATTGTACACATTTTTGCACTCCTCCGGAAGACCCCAGAATGTTGTACACATTTTTGCACTCCTCAGAAGACCGCAGAATGTTGTACACATTTTTGCACTACTCAGGAAGACCCCAGAATGTTGTAAAAAACTTTTGCACTCATCAGGAAGACCCCAGAATGTTGTACACATTAATTTTTGCACTCCTCAGGAAGACCCCAGAATGTTGTACACATTAATTTTTGCACTCCTCAGGAAGACCCCAGAATGTTGTACACATTAATTTCTGCACTCCTCAGGAAGACCCCAGAATGTTGTACACATTAATTTTTGCACTCCTCAGGAAGACCCCAGAATGTTGAACATATTAATTTTTGCACTCCTCAGGAAGACCCCAGAATGTTGAACATATTAATTTTTGCACTCCTCAGGAAGACCCCAGAATGTTGTACACATTAATTTTTGCACTCCTCAGGAAGACCCCAGAATGTTGTACACATTAATTTTTGCACTCCTCAGGAAGACCCCAGAATGTTGTACACATTAATTTCTGCACTCCTCAGGAAGACCCCAGAATGTTGTACACATTAATTTTTGCACTCCTCAGGAAGACCCCAGAATGTTGTACACATTAATTTTTGCACTCCTCAGGAAGACCCCAGAATGTTGTACACATTAATTTCTGCACTCCTCAGGAAGACCCCAGAATGTTGTACACATTAATTTTTGTATTCCTCAGGAAGACCCCAGAATGTTGTACACATTAATCTTTGCACTCCTCAGGAAGACCCCAGAATGTTGTACACATTTATTTTTGTATTCCTCAGGAAGACCCCAGAATGTTGTACACATTGATTTTTGTATTCCTCAGGAAGACCCCAGAATGTTGTACACATTAATCTTTGCACTCCTCAGGAAGACCCCAGAATGTTGTACACATTAATTTTTGTATTCCTCAGGAAGACCCCAGAATGTTGTACACATTGATTTTTGTATTCCTCAGGAAGACCCCAGAATGTTGTACACATTGATTTTTGTATTCCTCAGGAAGACCCCAGAATGTTGTACACATTAATTTTTGCACTCCTCAGGAAGACCCCAGAATGTTGTACACATTAATTTTTGCACTCCTCAGGAAGACCCCAGAATGTTGTACACATTAATTTTTGCACTCCTCAGGAAGACCCCAGAATGTTGTACACATTAATTTTTGCACTCCTCAGGAAGACCCCAGAATGTTGTACACATTAATTTTTGCACTCCTCAGGAAGACCCCAGAATGTTGTACACATTAATTTTTGCACTCCTCAGGAAGACCCCAGAATGTTGTACACATTAATTTTTGCACTCCTCAGGAAGACCCCAGAATGTTGTACACATTAATTTTTGCGCTCATCAGGAAGACCCTAGAATGTTGTACACATTAATTTTTGCATTCTTCAGGAAGACCCCAGAATGTTGTACACATTAATTTTTGCACTCCTCAGGAAGACCCCAGAATGTTGTACACATTATTTTTGCACTCGTCAGGAAGACCCCAGAATGTTGTACACATTTTTTTTGCACATGCATACATCAAGGGATTTTATTCAAATCTCAACAATGATTTCTAAATATTTTCTCTAACATCAATGAAGTAACACGTGTCCTATCTAAGATTCAAAATCAAACTAGTAATGAGGAAAAATGTTTTACAATTTTATACAAGCATACACTTTACTTGCATAATGCACTATTAAAACGTGTGTTGTGGGACATTTCTTCTTCCATGAATATACTAATTTTTTTTTGGCGTTAACTAAGCATATCCTAAGACGCGCATATACATTTTATCCGCCGAGCGCGAGGTTGTACACCGATTTTGTAATTTAAATAAGGCAAAAATTCCTTATCAAATCCCATCAATAAGGCATAACATATATAGTCTAGCCAAGTTGCATTCACAGCGGGAAGGATGAGGAATACCGGTCCGCTGTGAATCAGGAATATACAAGATGATTTAAAAAGTGATAAAATCAAGATTAGTTACATAAAGCCTGTTTTCCACTGCACCGTATATCGTAGCGAACCGTAGCGGTATTCCTTTGCATTCTTATTCCTCCAAAGCCCTTAGCTCTAGCCGAGAGCCCAGGAAAAATAATATACGCACTACTCTGCGATATATATACAGTTGAATAAGAAAACAGCTCTAATGCATCAGATTCCAGCTGTCTATTTATGACGAATATACTTACCATACTTCATTAATAGACTTCTTTGTCCGGAAAAAGCAAGTCGATCCTTCTACGCAGAATCTGCAAATATAAATAAAATATATATAACAAAAAACACTTTTAAGGTTTTGATAATACACGATAACGGATCGTTATTGTAGCGGGAAGTAGTTTTGTAAGTAGGGAGAGGCTGGAAGGATTCTTTGCATTGTCAGCCACTCAAGGCTGGTTTTTATAAAACAAATACATGGTTCCGCGTCGTAATTCAAATGACGTATTTATTGTAGTTCTGTTTCCATATGTCGGATTTCGCATAACAATTAACGAATTACAACGAATTAAGACATGTGAATTACGATGAATTATGTTGTATGAAAACAAGCTTTCATAGCGTACCCGTGGAGAGAATCTTGTCTTTGACCCGTTGTATTTCTCGTATTTAACGTAGCTAAATGAACTGCCATATGAAGGAGTCTCAATGTTATCTCCACACTCGTCATCAGTTCGCATCAGGCGACCAAGATTTCGTGAAGCCTCTATGGAAGTTTTGGATTTCTCTGTCAGGAGATAATATCTCTTTGCCGTCGCTTCGTTGTGAGCCATAAGGCTAGCCAATTTCGCACTCATCTCTGGCTTATCGACATTAACTTTCGTCACTGCTGCTTTCCGAAACGATGTCGATGTTACTTTAACATCCACTCCAGCTTTTTTAAAGACAGATTGTACTGCCTTAGTGATGTGCACAGAATTCATAGGGTTTCCGTTCCAGGATATGAATACTGGGCCATTCATTCGGGTGGTAACATGGGCTCGCATTATGCCAACGAATATTGACAGCCACGCCTTCAGTTTTCACTCAATACAACACGAGCTGGTCCATGAACATGTGCAGTTTTGTGCTTCTTCACTGTTATGAGGTAATAGTCATCTTGCTTTCGGATGTTTGTAAATTCCTCCATCGTCATTATGTGCTAGGACACCTGGTCGATTGGCATTGTCTATAAAGATTTGAGTGAACAGGAAATCCCTAACCAAGGTAAAACTGGATAGAGTGACAGGCGTGGACTCAGCTGGATCGGAGTATTGGTCAATGATCTTAGCCGCCTATCGAGCTGCTGCGCTTTTCTCCAACTTCCTGATGTTTGATGGTGTCAAACGATTCAGCATATCTTCTTCAAGCTTTTGCCATTTCCTTGTGCTTGATTCTCTCCTGTAAGATGAAGACCACATCTTTACTTTTTCTCGCGCTGAGCTTACGTCTACCCAACTGAATTTAATTGTATCTGGTTTGTCGGACAGGACAAATGAATACTCATCAAATACGACTTGATTGTGCCAGCTTCATACTTTTTCTGTTTCACATGCATGCACACTTAAAAATGCTTGACGTATTAACTTCAGGTCAAACCGGGACTGAATGTTCTCTAAATCATTAATGGCTTTTAGCATGATATAAAGCTGAAAACCATGTTGCAAAACCGTTTTTTCATCCTTTTTGCTGCCATCAGGTGACGCCATCCACTCTTGCAACTCCATAATTATAGGTGGTAATAGAATCATGTAAGAAAACAGTAAATATTATAGTATCATGTAAGCAAACAGTCAATATTATAGAATCATGTAACACAAAGTACAGTCAATATTATAGAATCATGTAAGCAAACAGTCAATATTATAGAATCATGTAAGCAAACAGTCAATATTATAGAATCATGTAAGCAAACAGTCAATATTATAGAATCATGTAACACAAACAGTCAATATTATAGAATCATGTAAGCAAACAGTCAATATTATAGAATCATGTAAGCAAACAGTCAATATTATAGAATCATGTAAGCAAACAGTCAATATTATAGAATCATGTAAGCAAACAGTTCATATTATAGAATCATGTAAGCTAACAGTCATTATTATAGAACCAAGTAAGCAAACAGTCAATATTATAGAATCATGTAAGCAAACAGTCCATATTATAGAATCATGTAAGCCAACAGTCATTATTATAGAATCATGTAAAACAAAAGTACAGTCAATATTATAGAATCATGTAAGCAAACATTCAATATTATAGAATCATGTAAGCAAACAGTCAATATTATCGAATCATGTAAGCAAACATTCAATATTATAGAATCATGTAAGCAAACAGTCAATATTATAGAATCATGTAAGCAAACATTCAATATTATCGAATCATGTAAGCAAAAGTCAATATTAAAGAATCATGTAAGCCAATAGTCATTATTATAGAATCATGTAACACAAAAGTACAGTCAATATTATAGAATCATGTAAGCAAACATTCAATATTATCGAATCATGTAAGCAAAAAGTCAATATTAAAGAATCATGTAAGCAAACAGTCAATATTATAGAATCATGTAAGCAAACAGTCAATATTATCGAATCATGTAAGCAAACATTCAATATTATCGAATCATGTAAGCAAACATTCAATATTATAGAATCATGTAAGCAAACAGTCAATATATAGAATCATGTAAGCAAACATTCAATATTATAGAATCATGTAAGCAAACATTCAATATTATCGAATCATGTAAGCAAACATTCAATATTATCGAATCATGTAAGCAAACAGTCAATATTATCGAATCATGTAAGCAAACATTCAATATTATAGAATCATGTAAGCAAACATTCAATATTATCGAATAATGTAAGCAAAAAGTCAATATTAAAGAATCATGTAAGCAAACAGTCAATATTATAGAATCATGTAAACAAACAGTCAATATTATAAATCATGTAAGCAAACAGTCAATATTATAGAATCATGTAAACAAACAGTCAATATTATAGAATCATGTAAGCAAACAGTCAATATTATAGAATCATGTAAGCTAACAGTCAATATTATAGAATCATGTAAGCAAACAGTGAATATTATAGAATGATGTAAGGAAACAACATATTATAGAATCATGTAACCAAACAGTCAATATTATAGAATCATGTAAGCAAACAAATCAATATTATAGAACCATGTAAGCAAAAAGTAATATTATAGAATCATTAAGCAAAAGTCAATATTATAGAATCATGTAAGCAAACAGTCAATATTATAGAATCATTGTAAGCAAACGGTCAATATTATAGAATCATGTAAGCAAACAAATCAATATATAGAATCATGTAAGCAAACAGTCAATATTATAGAATCATGTAAGCAAACAGTCAATATTATAGAATCATGTAAGCAAAAAGTTCATATTACAGAATCATGTAAGCAAACAGTCAATATTATAGAATCATGTAAGCAAACAGTCAATATTATTGAATCATGTAAGCAAACAGTCTATTTATAGAATCATGTAAGCAAACAGTCATATTATAGAATCATGTAAGCAAACAGTCAATATTATAGAATCATGTAAGCAAACAGTTCATATTATAGAATCATGTAAGCAACAGTCATATTATAGATCATGTAAGCAAACAGTCAATATTATAGAATCATGTAAGCAAACAGTCATATTATAGAATCATGTAAGCAACAGTCATATTATAGAATCATGTAAGCAAACAGTCAATATTATAGAATCATGTAAGCAAACAGTCAATATTATAGAATCATGTAAGCAAACAGTCAATATTATAGAATCATGTAAGCAAACATCAATATTATAGAATCATGTAAGCAAACAGTCATATTATAGAATCATGTAAGCTAACAGTCATTATTATAGAATCAGTAAGCAAACAGTCAATATTATAGAATCATGTAAGCAAACAGTCATATTATAGAATCATGTAAGCAACAGTCATATTATAGAATCATGTAACACAAAAGTACAGTCAATATTATAGAATCATGTAAGCAAACATTCAATATTATCGAATCATGTAAGCAAAAAGTCAATATTAAAGAATCATGTAAGCAAACAGTCAATCTTATAGAATCATGTAAGCAAGCAGTCAATATTATCGAATCATGTAAGCAAAAGTCAATATTAAGAATCATGTAAGCAAACAGTCAATATTATAGAATCATGTAAGCAAACAGTCAATATTATAGAATCATGTAAGCAAACAGTCAATATTATCAATCATGTAAGCAAACAGTCAATATTAAGAATCATGTAAGCAAACAGTCAATATTATAGAATCATGTAAGCAAACAGTCAATATTATCGAATCATGTAAGCAAACAGTCATTATTAAAGAATCATGCAAGCAAACAGTCAATATTATAGAATCATGTAACACAAACAGTCAATATTATAGAATCATGTAAGCAAACATTCAATATTATCGAATCATGTAAGCAAAAGTCATTATAAGAATCATGTAAGCAAACAGTCAATATTATAGAATCATGTAAACAAACAGTCAATATTATAGAATCATGTAAGCAAACAGTCAATATATTGAATCATGTAAGCAAACAGTCTATATTATAGAATCATGTAAGCAAACAGTCAATATTATTCATGTAAGCAAGTCATATAGAATCATGTAAGCAAACAGTCAATATTATAGAATCATGTAAGCAAACAGTCAATTTATAGAATCATGTAAGCAAACAGTCAATATACCGGTAATAGAATCATGTAAGCAAACAGTCATATTATAGAATCATGTAAGCAAACAGTCAATATTATAGAATCATGTAAGCAAACAGTCAATATTATAGAATCATGTAAGCAAACAGTCAATATATAGATATGTAAGCAAACAGTCAATATTATAGAATCATGTAAGCAAACAGTCAATATTATAGAATCATGTAAGCAAACAGTCAATATTATAGAATCATGTAAGCAAACAGTCAATATTAAGAATCATGTAAGCAAACATCAATATTATAGAATCATGTAAGCAAACAAATCAATATTATAGAATCATGTAAGCAAACAGTCAATATTATGAATCATGTAAGCAAACAGTCAATATTATAGAATCATGTAAGCAAACAGTCAATATTATAGAATCATGTAAGCAAACAGTCAATATTATAGAATCATGTAAGCAAACAGTCAATATTATAGAATCATGTAAGCAAACAGTCAATATTATAGAATCATGTAAGCAAACAGTCAATATTATAGAATCATGTAAGCAAACAGTCAATATTATAGAATCATGTAAGCTAACAGTCATATTATAGAATCAGTAAGCAAACAGTCAATATTATAGAATCATGTAAGCAAACAGTCATATTATAGAATCATGTAAGCCAACAGTCATTATTATAGAATCATGTACACAAAGTACAGTCAATATTATAGAATCATGTAAGCAAACATTCAATATTATAGAATCATGTAAGCAAACAGTCAATATTATCGAATCATGTAAGCAAACATTCAATATTATAGAATCATGTAAGCAAACAGTCAATATTATAGAATCATGTAAGCAAACATTCAATATTATCGAATCATGTAAGCAAAAAGTCAATATTAAGAATCATGTAAGCAACGGTCATTATAGAATCATGTAACACAAAAGTACAGTCAATATTATAGAATCATGTAAGCAAACATTCAATATTATCGAATCATGTAAGCAAAAAGTCAATATTAAAGAATCATGTAAGCAAACAGTCAATATTATAGAATCATGTAAGCAAACAGTCAATATTATCGAATCATGTAAGCAAACATTCAATATTATAGAATCATGTAAGCAAACAGTCAATATTATAGAATCATGTAAGCAAACATTCAATATTATCGAATCATGTAAGCAAAAAGTCAATATTAAAGAATCATGTAAGCAAACAGTCAATATTATAGAATCATGTAACACAAACAGTCAATATTATAAAATCATGTAAGCAAACAGTCAATATTATAGAATCATGTAAACAAACAGTCA